TACCCGGCCCGCCGCTCATTTATTGCGCCCAACCCACCAAAACAAACGCCCCGGGCCCCAGCCAAGCCAGGCGCTCTTGTGTATGCTAGCGGGCGCTCTGTGTGCCCCCCCAAACCGCCCGCTTCTGAAGGCTGCCCTCTCATCCGCTTCCCTTTCATTCCCCAGCTGCCCCCTCCCCTTCGCACCCAACCAACCCCTACACCCACACCAACCCCTACACCTCAAGCTGTGATCCCAGCTCTTCCTCTGGTCCTTGACAGGTCGATACAGGGGGGGTTACAAGGGAGCCCTGATGTGGGTACGGTGCCACCCTCCCGCCAGGCTGCTGCAGCCGCATCAGTCCATGCGCCCCTTGAGCGTCCGCGCAATCACCTTGTCCTTGGTGCTGCAGGCGGGGGGGAGGGGTTTGTTGAGGGGGGGGCCAGGCGGGTGAGCAGGACAGCGCAAACTCCGCAGTGGGGGGCTCCAAAACACGGCGGGGTGCGGCAGCCTGCTGCAGGCATCGCGGCCTGGTGGAGGCGGGGGGCGCTCACATGACGTACACCACCGCTCCCCAGCCCGCAAGGCAGTCGCGGTCCTGCCCGCTCAGTAGCGCCTGGCTCAGGGTCTCAAACAGCTCCTCGGGGCCCTGCAGCCGGGGCACGGGCGGGGGCCACACCACGCGTCACCAATGCGCAGCAGCATGCAGCCACCCGGCGGATCGTGAAGCGGCCTGCGGCCTGCCTGCACTGCTGGGCAGGCCGAGGCCGCAGGCAGCGGCGCGCTCCGCAGCACTGCGCGCGCAGCTGCGCACGCACCAGGTCTGGCCGCCACAGGCTCTCGCAGATGCCCAGCAGCGAGTCGGTTGCGGTGCCCGCCACCATGAAGTCCTTGGCCGTCTCCTGGGCACCGATGCTGTCCATGCCGCACAGGTAGGGGCTGCCGTCGGGCTCCAGCCCGGCTGCAGGAGGGGCAGGGGAGATGTGGTGGGCCGGTGAACAAGGGCAGCTGGTTGGTGGCAGTTTGACAGCTTGGAAGCGGCGGCTTGGGAAGGACGGCCGGCCCGCTGTGCCATCTGCCCCGCCGGGCAGGCGCACCGATGACGGGTTGGCAGAAGTAGGGCCCGAAGCGGCGCTCGTACAGCGTGGCCGACACGAGCTGGCCAAAGGCGGAGGGCTTGATGTCGCGCTCCTCCCGCAGCTTGTACAGGTTGTGCTTGAAGGCAAACCGCTGGGAGCTGCGGACGGGCAGTGTGGTGGGGGAGGGAGGGGGAGCTGGTGGGGTGACATGGTGCTCTGGCAGGCAACAGACATGTGCTGCACCGATGTGCTGTGCACGACTGGCAGCTTTGAAAGCTGGTTGCCCCCCTCCTGCAGCCTGCTGCTGCCGACGGTAAACACGTTTCCCATTGCGCATCCCGCCGCCCCAGGCTCACAGCGTCTCTGCGTCGGTGCCCAGCCCTGCCAGCCCGATGAACAGCTGGTCGTGTATCTTGTACACCTTCTTGTAGTCTGTGGCCAGCGTCTGCAGCTGCACGCCAAACCGCAGGTCGCTACCTATCGCCACGCACTCCTTGCCCGCCATGGCCACTGCAGGCGGGGGCGGCAGGTCGGCAGGGGGGGGGCCGTCAGGCCACTGCAGGGCGCCCCAGCGTTGCAGGTCCTCCCCGAGCCAGGCAGCCTGCTGGCTCAGTCCTGTGCACCCAGCAGGCGATCACCCGCCCCCACTGACCGATCGCGCTGCCATTGTACTCGAAAATCTGCAGTCGATAGCAGTGTCGCATCTAATGAGGCGTGCCCAGTAGTGGAGAGCAAGCAGGAGGCTGGCGGACTGGCCAGCAGGTCTAGAGGCTCACCGACATCGCCCCGGCCGGCCTGTGCGGCCTTCCAGCGCCTGTAACAAGTCCCTCCTAGCACCAGGGCCCCGCGCTCCGCCGATGGCAGCCGATCGAGGGGGCAGCCTGATCAAAGGAGGGCCGTGAAGCTGCGTTTCTCAAGTCTCGAGACGATGGCGAGTGGCACTGCACTGTCCAAATGCGGCTGGAGCCCTGCTAGCCGGAAATGCTGGGGAAGGCAGTAACTCAGGCGGGACATGTTTGGGCGCTCGTTGCAGGGACTTCGGCGAAAACCAGTGCTTGCCCAATTTCTACTGCACCATCTCCAGCAGAGCCCCAGCACTTGGTGAGGTCGAGCAAGTCAACAAGGTGAGGGGCGGCGGCTGGGCCAAGGATAGCCCAGTGCTTTCAACTTGCTTATGAACACGGCATCCTGCATCGTTCCGCCCCGCTGGACGCGCCTGCGTGCAACAGCATGCATGGCGCGCCGCCACACTTTCGCTGGCCGAGCGGTGCCCTGCGCTGTCCTGCCCTCAGCCTGCAAGTCACACGGTCAACGTGCCTCTGGCGGCGCCGACACCTGCAGGAGAGCAGCTGTGCAACCATGGCGGCGGCGGCGGCCGAAGAGGTGCCAGTGCCACCCCAGTATCAGCCGCAGCCCCTGTATGACTTTAGGCAGTTTCCGGATGTGACCCGCGGGTACAAGGTCGGGGTGACCAAGTGGGGCAAGATCGGGACCAAGCGCAAGCTAGAAGAATATGCAGAGCAGGTGCGCGGTGCCGGCCTTGTGCTCACGTGCCCACCAGGCGCCGCTGCCTCACCCTGCCACCCACAGGCACGCGCAGCTCACAGCTGGCTGAACACAACACAAACGGTGCCGCGCCCACTCTCCTCACGTGCAGGTGGAGCGGGAGCAGGAGGCGATGCAGGAGGGCGAGGCGGCGGCGGTAGCGGTGGACGCCCCCGCCAAGCGCGTCAAGCACAACACGGTGGGCGTGGGCAAGGCGTCGGGGCGTGCCTGGAAGCAGCCGGCGCAGCGTGCGGGCAGCCTGAAGAACCCCAACCTGAGCAGCACCTGGGAGAAGAAGATGGCCATCAAGGCGGAGGAGACGGCGTTCAAGGACCGCAAGCGTGCGGCGGCGGCGGCGCACAAGGAGGCGGCAGCTGAGGGGCGGCGCAAGCGCGAGGCGGCCAAGCAGCGCAAGCTCGAGGCGCAGCAGCGGTCGGCCATCGTGACGCGCGTCACCTCGGCCACCGCCAAGCGCATGATGAAGAACAAGAAGCAGCGGAAGCTGCTGCGCACGGCCGACGTGGCGTGACGCGCCTCTGTGTTGCCCTGCTTTTCCGCTGTACTCTAGCTCTTCTCGCTGCCTGCTGGCTTCTCAGTGCTGTTTGATTCTTTGTTACTTTGCTCCATCCAATGGCTTGTATTCGTCAGCCCTTCACTGGAAGTTGGGGCAGGATTGGCGCGCTGCTGGCGCCGCCAGGTGGACAAGCACTGGACACACCCCACACCGCTCCCTTGGAGTGGATTGATCAGTCATAGTGTCGGACGTTGTTTCCGGAGCGCAGAGGCTAGGGTGCCCACCCACGGCTCGGACCTCGTGGTGAACCACGCTTTGGAGCAACCTCAGGCGTGGATCACTCCCTCAAGGGTGGATCCAGGTAGAATTGGCAACGAATTCTGCGCTGTGCGTTCTTGAGAGGGCATGCACCAGTGGGCGGTGGCGGTGCGCAGACGGTGTCCCGCCCCTGCGCTGCTGCAGCGGCAGTGCTGAGCGGCATGGCGGAGGCAGAGGGCAGTGCGTCGCCTGCGCCTGTGGTGAAGCGCGTGCAGTATGCACGGTTTGGGCCTTCCTCGGAGCTGGAGGTGGTGACCAGCGGCGTGCTGCCCAGGCGCCAGGCAGGGCAGGTGCTGGTGGAGAACAAGGCCACCTCAGTGAATCCCGTGGACGGCAAGGCAAGTATTTCTCAATGATGCAGGGTAATGCTGTGAGCTGCGCCTTGTGGTCAGATGCATTCGTGGACTGGCCAGCCGTTGACGCTAGCCGCCTGCCACCCACTTTGCCGGCACAATAACTGCAGCTGCGCGAGGGGTATGGCGGGCGGCTGGCGTCGCCCAAGCTGCCGGCCACGCCGGGCGGCGACGTGGCGGGCGTGGTGGTGGAGGCGGACGCCGGCAGCAAGTTCAAGCCAGGCACGTGGTGGCCCAGCCAGCCAGCCCTGGGGCTTGATGCTGCCTGGGGTCTTACTCTTCCTGTGGCGTGCATGCAGGGGACCGCGTGTTCGGGCTGATGTACCGCTGCGTCGGCAGCTACACCAGCCATGTGGCACTGCCCGAGGCCGCCCTGGCCCGCATCCCAGCCTCCCTCAGCTTTGAGGAGGCGGCGTCGCTGCCCCTGGTGGCGCTGACCGCGTGGCAGGCCCTAGAGCTGGCGGGGTTGAGGGAGGGGCAGCGGGTGCTGATCCACGCCGGGGCGGGCGGCGTGGGCTCCATTTCCATCCAGCTGGCCAGGATCCGGGGCCTCCACGTCATCACAACCTGCTCTGCCACCAACGCCGACTTTGTGCGCCAGGTATGCGGCGCAGGCCAGGGTCGGGCGCGCTGGTTGTGCGCTGGTCTGTGGCCTAGCGCCACGTGGCGGCCCACCTGCAGCTGGCCGCTCCCAGCTTCCTCCGCTCTTGCGACTGCTGCAGCTGGGCGCCGACGAGGTGATAGACTACAGGCAGGAGCGGTTTGAGGAGGTGCTGAAGGGCAGGCCCGTGGATGCGGTGCTGGATGCCGTGGTGCACGGGGACGCCCCCTGCGATTATGAGCAGCGCAGGTGCGGGGGCGGGAGCTCAGCAGGCACACATGCGTTTGAGCATGCCGCAGGACATCGCTGGGGCCCTGCTGAGGCATGGTTTGCGTGCACCCTGTGCAGCATGAAGGTGCTGAAGAAGACGGGCACCTATGTCAACTTCATCCCCAAGCCGATGCTGCTCCCCATCCTCATTGGGTGAGCTCATGGCAAGCCTGCGCCGATTCACTTGCACCGCCAGTGCAGTGATCCACTGCTCAGCAGCGACACAATACATGCGGTGCAGCTTTCTGCGTGGTGCCTGTTGGCTGGGGCCGCGGTACCGAGTGGTCATTGTGTCGCCCAACGGCGGCCAGCTGGAAGCCATTGGCAAGCTGGTGGAGGAGGGCAAGGTCAAGCCCATCATCCACAGCGTGCTCCCACTGGAGAAGGCAGCGTGAGCGGAGTCGCCGTGGCGCCGGCGGCAGTTTGCCGTGCAGCTTCTGTGGCCTGGCCAGTGCAGGACAACTGTGTGCATCTGCTGGCGGCAAAGCATGGTACGATGTGCTTCTGCTGCTGACGTGTGCAGGGAGGCGCAAGATCAGGTTGCGACTGGGCACACCCGTGGCAAGATTGTGCTGAAGATCAGCGAGTAATGCGTGGCACTGTACTTGCTTACACATGCATGATTCTTGGACTGCGTGTTGTGTGCTTGTGAACAATTCTGCCAGTGAAAGCGGCAGCTTGATTGCAGATATCTGGGAGGTTGGCAGCAGGGAGTGCCACAGAACAGAAGTGCGGGGAAGGCGAGCGGGCAGGGAAAGAGCAGGAAGCTGCGAGCGAGAGGGTGTCACGATAAGGACAGTAATACACAGGAGCAGATCAGAGGAGTACAGCAGAGGGGTACAGGGGCAGCAAAGCGCTGGGATCGTGCTGCGCGTGCTCAGCCAAACTCCATGGTACTGAGCCGCTTGTTGGCCTGGCGGCTGGCCTGCCGCCCCCGCCCCATGCACTTCTCCAGGTGCGGCGCAAACCTGCCCGCCGCCACCTTGCGCCCGCAGCTGGGGCAGGCCACCTGGTCCAGCGCGATGGGAGGCACCACGTTGCCAAACACGTCAATCATGTTGCCCTTGTGCACCGGCGGCGGCAGCGGCGGGATGGCCGCCGCCTGCTGGCTGATGCCGCCCCCCGTGGCTAGCCGGTGCCGCACATCGGCCAGGGTGTCCTGCAGGCAGCAGGGGAGCGCATGGTGGCTCAGAGGCACTGGCAGGGCGACGAGAAGGCACGTGTGCTCATGCGCCAAGTTGGCGGCAGCGCAGGCGGCCGTCGCCTCGCCCCACCCACCACTTCTGTGTGCACTGCGCGGTGCACCTCCAGGGCTATGTCGTAGATCACCTCTGCAGGCCAGGCAGGCAGGCAGGCAGGTGTGGGGTGCAGCCAAGTGCTGGCACCAAGTGGCAGGTGTTGGGTTGTGGCACCAACCGCGCAGCGTATGCCCACGGCTTCCCGCCGCCGCCCACCGTCGATGATGGAGGTGTAGGCCTGCACCGTCTGTGCCACCGGTCCCTCCTCCTGCTGCAGCTGCTCCTTGAGCTCTCTCAAAAAGTTGAGCCGCTCGCGCAGCAGCGTCTCCTCAAAGGCGAGCTGCGCCGCGGCGGTGGGGCAGCGGCAAGCGGGCGGGCGGGGTTAAGCTGGGCGGCAGGCGGCAATGTAGCGGCCAACTCCTGAGGTCTCCCACCCTCGGCGCACCCACTGGGACGACCGCATTCGCTCACCTGGGCGGGCTTGAGCGGAACACCAGCCATGGCCGCCCGTGACAGCAGCGCCTGCAGGCAGGCCTGCCCACCACCCTGGGCCGCCTGGTAATATACAGGGAGGCCACCCTGCTTCGGCTGTCTCACCCTGCCAGCTCAGCCACCCCTCATCGGTGCCCTCATCCCCTCAATCACAGCGCATTGCCCCCTCTTTGCCGTCACCGCAATTGGCACCTCCTGTCGGATCTTTGGCAGACTGGGAGACGTGCATCAGCTGGACACATAGCGTTAGCAAGTATGCAGTGCACCAGCGCTTGCACGGCGGCGGCCCCCGCCCAGCTCCAGAGGCCCGGCAAGTCCCGGAGTGGCTTTTCAGCGTCAATGCGCGGCACCGCACTGGCCCAGCAGCACACGGCTGCCCGGGGGCCCGGCAGCAGCAGCCGGGGCGCGCTGCGGGTGCAGGCCCGCGACTTCCCCAAGCCCGACTTCGAGGGGGAGAAGAGCTTCCAGGAGATGGCCGCCATCTCGGCCGCCGTCAAGGCGGCGCCCCGCCCCAAGGAGCCGCTGACGGTCGTGATTGCCGGCGCCGGCCTGGCGGGCCTCTCCACCGCCAAGTACCTGGTGGATGCCGGCCACAAGCCCATCGTGCTGGAGAGCAGGGACGTGCTGGGCGGCAAGGTGCGGCGGCAATGGCGGCGTGGCGCCACGCGGCAAGGGCTGCGGCGGGAGAGCGGGAGGCTTTGGCTGCCTGCGGAGACAGCGGCCCCCTCCCCGGCACCGCACCCCTCACTCCTGCCCCTCCCGTGCAACTGCACGCAGGTGGCTGCCTGGAAGGACGAGGACGGCGACTGGTATGAGACGGGGCTGCACATCTTCTTCGGCGCCTACCCCAACCTCATGAACCTGTTCAAGGAGCTCGACATCGAGGACAGGTGTGGTGTGTGTGTGGCGTGGTGCGTGTGTGTGATGTGGGTGGCTGTGTGTGTGTGTGGTGTGCGGGGGTGTGGGTGGGAGGAAGGCGGTGGTGACTGCGGGTGGAGCGGCGCAGTTGGGAGCCGCGGCAGCGGGCGCGTGGTGCGGGCAATCAGGCGTGGGCACCTGCGCGGCAAGCCGTCCCGCCACATCACGCCGGCCTGCGCCTCGCCTGCCTGCCCGCGCCCCGTCCCCTGCAGGCTGCAGTGGAAGGAGCACAGCATGATCTTTGCGGTGCCCGAGGCCCCCGGCGAGTTCTCCCGCTTTGACTTCCCCGACCTGCCCGCCCCCCTCAACGGCATCATCGCCATCCTGCGCAACAACCAGGCGCGGACGGATGCCGGCCGGGGCAGGGCCACGGCGGGCGTGGGTTTCACCGCGATAGGAACAGGATGCGGGGCTCCAGGGGCCGGGCCGGGGAGGTGTGCCGGGCCGGGTGCCCGGCCGCGGGAGCGCCACCGCTGCCGCCGCGTCCCCGCCGCCCCCCGCAGATGCTGACGTGGCCCGAGAAGATCCAGTTTGCGCTGGGCCTGCTGCCCGCCATCGTGTACGGCCAGCCGTACGTGGAGGCGCAGGACGACAAGACGGTGACGGAGTGGATGCGGCAGCAGGGGGTGCCCGCCCGCGTCAACGACGAGGTCTTCATCGCCATGGCCAAGGCCCTCAACTTCATCGACCCAGACGAGCTGTCCATGATCTGCGTGCTCATCGCGCTCAACAGGTTTCTGCAGGTGCGCGCGCCTGGGCAGCGCAGCCGGGTTGGTGGGGGAGGTGTGCTGGGCAGATGTGTGGACAAGGGGCGGGCTGGGAGCGGGGGCGGCTCCAGCTGGACGGTTATGGCAGAGGCGGGAGGCTGGGGCGGAGGAACGGGCTGCTTCTCTTGTGGCCGGCTGGGACGGCGGCCTGGCCTCCTCGCCTGCCTGCCCACCCGCGCCCCGTGCTCGCCTGCCGCCCCTGGCAGGAGAAGCACGGCAGCAAGATGGCCTTTTTGGACGGCTGCCCGCCGGAGCGCCTGTGCCAGCCCATTGTCGACTACATCACGGGTGAGGGGCCCCAGCGCCGGGCAGGGGACGTGGGTTTGTGGGCTGGCAGTGACGGCACCATATGCGAAAGCGGCATGGCACGCTTCGCGCTGCTCCAGCCAGCCCTGCCGCCGACTCGGCGCCCTCCCCTGCCCTGCCCCTCCTGCGCAGCGCGCGGCGGCGAGGTGCGCATGAAGTCTGGCATCAAGGACATCGAGCTGAACGAGGATGGAACAGTCAAGTGAGCCTGGGAGGCGGGCTGCTCCCGGCGCGGCGCGCTGGCTGCGGGGCGCGCTGGGGAGCGGGCGCTGCGCGAGGCGGCTTGGTGGCGGGTGTGGGTGCGAGGGCGCAGGCGGGCAGCCAGCCTGCCCTGCAGCCCTGCCTCTGGTGTTGCCCTACCTCTGCCCCCGCTATCGTGCCGCACCTGCTCTCACCGCGCCTCACCTTTGGCCACCGTCCCGCAGGCAGTACAACCTGCTCAGCGGCGACTCCATCACCGCTGACCTCTACGTGTCCGCCATGCCCGTGGACATTGTGAAGAAGCTGATGCCGGCGCCCTGGTACCAAATGGACTTCTTCAAGTGAGGGTACTGGGGAGGACTGTGGTGTGGTGTGGAACGCCAGCGGGTGGCTGGTATGCCGGCTGGCGCGCTGGGGACCAAGGCAGCGGCCTCGGCACACGTCGCTCGCTCGCTCGACGCCCCACCTGCTGCTGCAGGCGGCTAGACAAGCTGGTGGGCGTGCCGGTGATCAACATCCACATCTGGTTTGACCGCAAGCTCACCACAGGTGTGCCCCCGCACCCCTGGCTGCGCACTGCCGGCGCTGCCGCCCTCGCGCCTCCCCGCCACACCGCACCACTGCGCGCTCACCCCCACCCCGCCCCGCCCCCACCCCCGCACATCCTCTTTGCCGCCCTGCAGTCGACCACCTGCTGTTCAGCCGCTCCCCGCTGCTGTCGGTGTACGCTGACATGTCCACCACCTGCCGCGAGTACTACGACACCGAGAAGAGCATGCTGGAGCTGGTGTTTGCTCCCGCCGAGAAGTGGATTGGGCGGCCCGACGAGGAGATCATCGAGGCCACCATGAAGGTGGGCGGGTTGTTGTGGGTGGGCGGGTGGGTGGGTGTGGATTGGGTAAGGGAGGGGGGGGGTGATGTGG